ATTTTTCCCCCTTTATAACTACCTATCAAAGTACGCCTGGCTCCTGTCAAAAGTTTATTTTTAATGGCATACTCTCGCATAAAAGGTCATATGTCCTCTCTTGTTACATTAATATTTTAAAGACGGGCGCAGCTCGCTAAAGTATTCTTTTAATGAGTCCGGTACACTTATATCCAACTCTATTAACCCGAAACAACTAACTAACATCTAACACTGAATAAATAATCTCTTGTTCTGTCAACGGCCATTTTTTATTGCTATAAGAAGGTTTTAGTTTAGGGGTGGTTGAATTTTCTTTCTGCTTTAATAAAAAGGCTTTAATTTCTGGATTATTTTTCTTTATACTTTGCCATTGACATTCCCAAATCTCTATAACATTAACCTTAACAGTCTCTCGGAGATAGGTCGTAATGTCAACTGTATTGTTATACAAATCTGTGAATGGTTTCTTGCTCAAGGGATTTACAGTTTTGTCTTGGGTCAATGGGCACTTTGGATGCCCATGAAATAAACAACCTTGAAATTGGTAGGCAGTTCGTGACTCGTTATCTCACCCATCGACTCTTATGTTTCGACCCCCCAGAGAACGCTCACCCCCTTTGTACATGGTCTGTAAGCCTCTACCCATCTTATGTGAAACCCAACTTAACCACTCCCTACTCTGGTCCCCATAATAATTTATTTTCCTCGGTTTGAACCCGTCTTCGCTATCTCTAATAATCGGAAAGTCGGTGGGCATTTTTTGCATAAGGGACCATAAGTAAAGAGCATTGGCACATAAGCCTTTAATTCCGGCCACCGGCTTATGGCTATTCCCCCTAATGAAAGTCTCCCCTTTTTCGTGGTACCTATTGAAAATGATAGAGGGACCCCCGACAATATTGTCTCTAATCAATTTGTGTAACCTAGCTTCCCAATTGGGCAACAAAGAAAAACAAACGTCTTTAGGTAGGGTTTTGAAAAGATATTTTAAAGTAACCCCGGGACGGAAATGGCGTCTTTAAGCATATCTACCCCTAAGTCTTCATAAAAATCAACCTGTCTTTCCAGAGCCTCTAAAAACGGAACGACATCTTTATTATTATAACAAATTAGAAAATCTTTTAAAGTGGTCATACCCTCTTTTAACCAGACCTGTTGACAATACTCGTACTCTTCATCTGTTATATTTGTGTTTTAAGGGAGGGAAAAAAGGCTGAATGAGGGGGCAAAGCGGTTTTCTCTAGGAAACTAACACTTGTAATATACTCATAACAGAAGAAGCCTTTGGTTTCAATGACATTATAGGCGGTCAAATATGTATTATAACTAAATCCAGGGGCCAACTGGTTAACGATATCTAAAAACTTTAATCTAGAGGTGGAAATGCACATGAGATTATTGTTGCGTTTAACGAGAAATTTAAAGGGTGATTTTTGTGTGGCCGGATTATTTTTTTCTGCCTCGTCCTCTGGTTCGCTATCATCGGCCTCATAAAAATTACCAGGTGTCCCCCCTTCATACTCTAACACAGCTTCGTCTGTCGCTAAAGGTCTTTCGTTGTTGTCAGTCTCTACCCTTTTTTGGACTGTCACGGAAGGTACAACAAAATGGGCGATTAAGTAGGGTTTAATTAAATTAATGTCATACTTCCCCCAATTAAAACCTATCACGGGTAGTTGCCTTAAATATTCATCTAATCTTTTAAGGGGAAGCGGGGAATCTTCATTAACGTCTTCTGACGATAATGCCTTTAATTTTAGACGAACATCAGCGAACTGCCCTTTCAAGAGTTGAAAATTTAACGACGTTACTGACTAATTCTTGACTGTCTCCTATTGAAACGAAGCAGAAGGGACCTTCATGACCGGGGACATTTGAAGCTATCGAGCACGACAACGGCACATGGTTCGCTAAAATCTTTGTTGCACTACCTACAGGGGTAAGATTGTTTTTTTGAAAGTAGCACTCGAAATCATAAGTCGCTCTATAAGGGTACACAAAAGAAGGGTCGACGTCTATACCTGCTGCTCTGAGGATGTCCCAAATGGTACGCGTTGTAGTATATAAACCCCCCTTATATTTATCTATTGATTTACCCCCTGTACACGTCTTCTCATGTCTATTCAACTGGTTAATTTCCCGCCATAACTTACCACATTTAGAACATGAGAAGACGTGTGATGCCCTATGTATATTGTGGAGAGTTCGGACCACGACGGCGCCTGACCAGGGATTACGGCCGTCTGACCAGGTACAGCCGGCGCTATCTGACCTAGGATCATGACCGAAGGATCAAGCGCTGGGGGCGGTACCGGCCATCCATCTGACCAGGGCATTTCCCTGGGACGACTGGTCTGTTGTAACCTGGCGCCGATTGGGAAAAAAGGGGCGGGGGATAATGCGCCAGTCCAGACCTGGGAGAGGAACTATGGGACTGGGAGGTATAAATAGGGATCTCTGGACGTGACAAAAAGAAAGGCGGCCGGACTGAGACTAGATAGCAGGGAGAAGTCAGAGTTGTGAGATGAGAGAAAGTGTAAGCAAAGTGACAGCCCAATAAAGAACACGAGTTTAAATGTTATCGCCGGAGTTGTTTCCTTATTGACTACCAGATCTAGATGAAGTTTATCAGAGAGTTAGCAAGGTTTCCTTACAATATTATTAATGTACATGAAATGGTTTTTGAAAAATAATAGATTAAGCTTTTCACCAAACAAATTTCCTCCTCTTAACTTTGGGGTGATAATATTGTCCTCGCTATATTAAAAAATAACTATGTTAATACTAAAAGACTTCTCTAAAGCGGGAATCTCTTTTAAAGTAGCCCCGTGGAATGAAATCAAGGTGGCAAGACCTTGAAAAACATACCATTGTTTCATTAATTTTTGTGTTTGTTTTCTAAGATCTGTAACTGGACTACCTCTGGCTACAGCTAAACACCTAAAAAAACAAAAATTAATCTCATAAGGTTTTGACTTGGAATCTAATTGTAAAATGTTAATGGCTTGATTGGATCTAATGTGTTGTGGTATGTCTGTAAGATAACAACCTATTGGATAATCTTGCAAATGATATAAATAAAAACTAGTGGCTGGTACTGCTTCTACAACATATTTTGTGTCTGGTCTCTGAAGTTGACTATGGTCTAAAACATCTTGTTTGTTTAAAAGGGAAAGAAATTCATTAAAATCATCTCTGTTATTAATTAATTTTGGTCACTCCAAGACACACGCGTTGTTGTGTGAGGCATGAAAATATCTAAGTTCAATTGTTTCTCTGTGTTTTAGAATGGAATTGTAGCTGAAATTAATTTTAAACCGTGTTGTTTGTGCGTTAAAAATACTATCGACTAACTTTGTTTCCCAGTCAATGGGATGTGTGGAATTTTGACCGTGAAAGTATGTAAATGTTGATAAGTTTGGATGTAAAGTATAATGAGTTTTGATTGCATTCCAATTGTCCAGATATTTCTGTCTTATGTCTTCTGGCAAACTGTCTAAGTCATCCTTTTCGTCATGTTCTTTATGTCGTTTAGTATTGTCATTGAGTTGTGTCTCAGCGGGTCTCTTTCGACTAGACCCGGCCTCTTCCTCCTCCGTCTCAATGGGTCTCGCCTCTGTCTCCATTTGGTGTGGTCCCGCCGCTTCATCCCTTGTACCACCCGCCCCGTGGACTTTCTCAATGTGTTTTTGAAGCCACTTTGCCGAGTTGTAAGACACGAGGCAGAGGTGGCACACATGAAGACCACAAGGGAAAAAACGGCAGAGTCACATTTTTGTTGTTTTGAGATATTCGATTTTTAAAGTTCAAAACCATGCACATTAAAAAAATGTAAACAAAATGTAATTTTTAAAATGCATTTCACAAGAGTGTCAATATCCCTGAGTTATTAAATAGATAAATTAATTCAAACTTGAATGTAACATGATTTATTTCATTATAGTAGAGAGTGGGGTCAAAATGGACTCTGCCGTTTTTTCCCTTGTAGTAATTTATCAAAGGTTTGATCATTGATAAATATCTATTTAAAACTATTTTATAAGTAAATTTTCACATTTAGGGGTCACTGGCAAATTACGTCACACTTAGAGGGGGTGGGTTGAGAATATGAGACACTTTTTGGAAGGGGGAAAGGGGGGGACAAAAATTATGACGTCACTTTTTTTTCATCTCTAAAAGTTTCTAATTCTTAAAAAAAAAATCATAATTTAATTGATTTTTAAAACATTAATTTGAGGTCAAATTTGCCTCAGGTATTATAGTATGGTACCATGAAACTCGGTTTTCTAGTAATACTGCATCTTATCATTATGGCAGTGGTTCTCAACCTTCTTAATGCCGCGACCCTTGAATGCAGTTCCTCATGTTGTGGCGACCCTCAACCATAAAACTATTTTCGTTAGTACTTCATAACTGTAGAGGATATGCATTTGCCGATTGTCTTATGTGACACCTTTAAAGGAGTCATTCGACCCATAAAGGGGTCGCCACCCACAGGTTTAGAACTGCTGCATTATGCAAAAATGTTGAAGAATAAAATAATATCTTAGTTTAGTTATGAAAATTTTATGTATGTTTTGAATTTTTTTAGGTGATGTGACAAGGGGGGGGGGGGAGAATTTGTGACATTTCGTGACAAGGGGAGGGGGTGTCTAAAAAGTTTATTTTTAACGTGATGTAATTTACGAATGACCCTTGCCTTAGGCAAATTATTTATGTTTAAACTATTAAAATAAGAATATGGATCATGCCTATAACTATCATTAAAAAAATATATTATTTAGAATTTAACCTGAAAATCAGATTTAAAATCATACTTTCTGAGTTTCTGATGTGCTTCTTACAATTTTGGCCCATTATTAGTTTTTTTTCCCTCTAGCAGTAGCTGTAACTGTATGAACTTAAGTTTAAGTTTAAGAGTAAAGTCAGTAAAGAGTAACAGATATTGTTGCTCATAAAAATATCAAATTGAGAGGTTCTTGCTAGCAACAAAGGCATCAAAATTTACCAATTATAAAATGTCACCATTCACAGGTAAAAGCTTCACACTGACCATTGCTGTGTTTACGAACCCCCCACAAATTGCATTGTATCAGAAAGCAATAAAAGTCACTGTGGATGGACCAAGAGAACCGAGAAGTAAGACAAGTAAGTTTTTTTTACATACCTTAGATCAGGCTGAACAATTTAAAAAAATAAATGTAATAAAGTATGGAAAGGGAAAATGTCAGTACAATTGTGGCTCTCCGTCTCATCAAGTCTTATTGATTTAATTTTTGAATTTTTTTAGATTTTTTTTTTGTGCCAATTATACAGATGCTGTTGTAAAAGGCTCTGTCATATTTCAAATATTAACTCTCAGAAATTTAACAAACATTATTCTTTTTTTAAGAGCTACACGCTGATGAGCGTCATGTTCACCGACCTAGTCCATTGGATATCTCCTTGAAGAGAAATATTATACCAGATCCTCTTCGAGAGCGCCAGCTATCACATTTTGCTGATCTTGATTGTTTGAGGCAGCAGCAGCAGCCAAAGAATTTACCCCACCTTGAGCATCAGAATCAATTGGATGAGCTTAGCAGGCGCTTTATTGATCATCAGCATTTACCCTCTAATCAAATAAAAAAGTCTGATAGAAACACGAAGCCACAGGGCTCTGAAGTAACCGACAGTGAGAGGAGTGAGGATATTACATTTATTAGTAAGCAGAAAAGATTTTTGTGCTTGAGGAATACTTTAAATGTCTTACTTTTAAATTGTTTTAGTTTAAAATTTATCATAATCATTAAATTGTATTAGTTTAAAATTTATCATAATCAGACGGTTTATGCTGTTATGCAGTGGTTCCCAAACGCTTAAGTTTAGCGGACCGGTGAACAAGTTTCGAAATTTTACCAGGGACCGGTGCATGATTTATTTTTATACTTTTATTTCTATTGGACAATAAATATTTATGTTATGGGGACTGGCAGTGTTAGGAATGCGGACCGGTGAAGGTCCACTGACTGCCATTTGGGGACCACTGCTGTAATGTACAATGTAAGCAAAACGCATTTTCATTTATGTAGATCAGGCCTGCACCCACTTTGCGGCCCGCAAAGTAACGAAATATTATTTTTTATTTTCTTCTTTTTCTTCTTCTTATATTTGAGGGGCCCACGATCAATTTGTTGATCATTCTGGCTCCTGGTTTAAATTCAGAGTTTGCCTTCTCTTAGATTCTTAGATGGGTTGCCTTCCAAGGTTAAAGAGTCCCATCCACCCGATGGACTATTATGGTGTCCTTAATAACTTTCCCCCCTGCCTTATTCTTTTTGGGCCCGCACAATTTTTTTAATAAAGTACTCCGAACCGCCTTACATTTTGAGTTGTGCAGGCCTGATGTAGATCAATGAAAGGATCTTATCTTATTTAACTGTTAGATTCAAATATATTTTTTTTCAAATCACTATTTAAGCTAAGTTAATGATTTAATAATTAATCCCTGAAAATTCTATGCTTTCTAAATTCTATATCCTTATATGTGTTCAGGTAAACAATCATGGGATTATAATACACTTAGGTGTAATAGTGACACAGCCCTTAAGGAAGTAACAAGCAGCAGTGACCTGTCAGCTGGGGAGGCCAGTCACTTCAAAGGTACGGCGCATACGTCTAAATAGTTAAATGTTCTTGTTTGTTGCTAATTGAAAGAATGGTATTTCACATTTTATTTTAATTTTTCTGTTTACCTGATGAGAGGTCCTCAGTCTAGTGCTGTTTTTGTCGTCACCTGCTCCACTGGCATGTTGTAGAAAAATGATCTTATTTTAGATTGTTGACGGAGCTTGCTAAATTATTATTTTTTCAATGGGGGAATGTTCTGTTTAGTACATGTAGTTTTATTTTATCCGGTGACCATTCTTTGAATGTTATCAATTTGTTTAAAAAAAAAAACTGCTTGCTGACACTGTCGTATCAAAAGTATAATAATGTATTATTTGTTGTATTGTGTTGTTGTTAAGATTTGAGACTTAGGCCTGATTTAGAAAGATAAATAGAACATTTAACATATTTTCTGTTGATGAATAAGAAATACTTAAATAAATAACATCTGTAGATTTACCAAAACCCACAGTTAATCGACTCAAATTTTCATTCAAATATTCTAAAAACTTATTTGGGGAATTTCAGCAGTTGAGAGTAAACAATTTTGTACCTAAGATTTAAATAAAGTTATCACTGTGCAATAACAATTTTATATGATCACTTCAGGCACATGAAATATTGCACATTAATTTAAAATTATATTTTTTATTATTTTTTTTTACAGCTTCTTCATGTGAATCACCAGATCAGGATGCAAGAAATGAGTATCCTATAATGTCCAAACAGACATTTTCTGAAATGAGGTCATTTCCGCTTAGTAGCACTAACTGCCACGGGAAGATAGGTTTCTCCAGCGGTAATTGCCACAGATCCCCTCTCTCATCATTTGCTGAACATAGGCAGAGCACTTCTCTGCTGTCAGTCTTTGAGAGGCAAGATTCTTCTTTCTCTGCAGTTGGTTTACCTTCTGACGAGCTCAGTGAAAACACACACAGTTATGCGTCTCATGCCCAAGATGATAATGTGTCAGATGGGATAGTACCGAGCAGATGTGAGCATGTTCCTTGCTTTAACATGTCTTCTAGATTTACGCTTGATTTGGTAAAAGGACATGCCCTTGACGTGTCATCAAGACCCAATTTGGAATCACACTGTTCAGCAGTCTATGGAAGAGATGTTAATGCCAGAAGGAATTCTGAACCATTGTGTTCCACAGTTATCTCTCCTTCACCTACAACCCCATCTCCAACATCAAGTAACTCCACTGGTCTAGAAGACAGCCTTTCTGTCTCTGCCGGTCGTTTGTCAGAAAGCAGTCAAATTTCGGCTGGCTTAACACCGTCAAGTATAAGACCGCTGCCACTTTTGGCCAGTGCCAACTGTAGGGGTAGACCAAAGTTATCTGATAGTAGAAGAGTCTACTGTGACTCGGGCTCTCAAATGTCAAGTTTATATTCTTACGGCCCAAGATCAAGCTCTGAGAGCCACGCAATTAATCTTTCCATCTCTGAGAACAACGAAAATGTCATGTTCCTTTCAGATAATCAGATGAGAGTCATTCAAGATGCCAATAATAGCTTCCGAGGCAATCTTCAAACAGAAAGCAGAGGCTTGACTTGTAGAGCTTTTGAAGACAGAATTTCCATTTCCACTCTTCCTAGAAACATCACTCAGTCTAAATTTCCAGTTCTTACCCTCTCCTCTATTAACAACCCTGATGCTGTGTCAGGACACTACTTAATCAACAACCCTGATGCTGTGTCAGGACACTACTTAATCAACAACCCTGATGCTGTGTCGGGACACTACCTAATCAACAACACTGATGCTGTGTCAGGACACTACTTAACAGTTTCTCCATCTCATCTCTTACACAGTTCTTTTATCTACCCTCAGAGATTTCCACAAAATCAAATGCAGCTAATTATCCCTTCCGGTGATAAAACATATGAAATACTAGGCCAGCAAAAAAGATGTGAGAAAAGTTATGAAACAAATGAATTTCATGACCAGTCGCGCTCATCCACAGATGCCAAATACTTTAAGAGGCGGTTGTCAAGGAACTATGATGAAAAATTAAGTGAACACTTCAGGCCATTTGAATTTCTCCATCCGATGGATCAACAAAACTCCGACACTGGAGAGTCAGCAGATAGAGTCTGCGATGGGGACGACGCCTCGAGGCCTGTGAACTCACAGAGCGGCCGTCATGTCGAGAAACCGACGCCCATTGTTTTTTCACCAAGGACTATAATCAATCAAAACATGTCGAACTTAGATTTGTCTGAGCCCTCCTTACAGTCGGATATTCATTACAATTTGCCTCCACAGTCTTCACGCAACTGGAGGATTGATTCTTCTGATTCTGCCATGAGTAGGAGAAACGGTGAAGAACACACGGACATAAGTGTCTGGCGACCTTATTAAGATGCAAGCTATTATGAATAATTTCATTTGTTTTGAACAGAAATTATGTACCACTGTTGTTGATTTTGAAAGTATTTACAAGCTCAACAATTTTTTGGCTTGAGTTGGCGTTATTTAGATTTTTAAATTGGCAACATCACAATGTTGTAAGGTATTATTAACTTTTATCTTGCTTAGTTGATTTATAATTAGTGTCTCAATTCATTTTCAATTAATTTTGTTCAGAAATGTTAGCTTTTCTCTTGCCATTCATTACATATGCAAATTAAAAATTTCACGCACACAGTACACGCAGAAATTTCACCCCTACATTTATTATTACAGTGGTCATATAGAGCCCGGTACCCCAGCCTAGGGCTGGGCTCACCGTGCTTCACATAATAAATATTGGCAAAAATAAACATGTCATTAAAAAGTTACATACTTTTTTAAAATTAAACAACAGCTGTATAAAAAACATCTTTTGTAGGAACAAAACATCACACACACACACCCTTTTCCGGCAAATGAATCATAAAAATTAGGTAAAAGCTGATTTGCTTCTGCTCTCTATTACCTCGCAAGCACTGAATCATACAAAGACAGGCATTAGACTAAAGTTGTCACTACATTAAATTTAAAGCTTAAATTACTTTTTTATTTCTGGCCAGTTCAAAGTCACCAGCCTTTTATAAATTCAATAATTAAGGAGCATTGCAGTATGGAATCATGGAGTTGTCAGATTTTTTTGGTGACAGTTCGCTTTATTAGGGCTATAATTTGAATATGCTAACTATGGAATGTTAGAATAATTATTGCAGAATTTGTACATAATATATCTATGATTTAGATAGGAAATAAATTGTGAATTTAGAGACTGAACTTTAGTATTTGTTAACTTGGTGAGAAAATTTTTTTATAATTGGTTAACAAAAACAGTTTAATAAACCTGAGGAGATAAAAATTACTACTGGGTAATTAATTACAAACCAGGTAAAGGTATTCCAAGATTCTGGACTGTTGCTGTTGTTTGTCCTGCGCGTGCAAAGATGACCAAGGCTATACCATATTCAGGGGTGAGTGCGCTGGTGGCTTGTCGGTCCTATTTGTGCCTGGAACTGGAAAACTTTCTGGCACATAGGACATATTTTTTGTGTCCTAGTTGGATTGTGTTCAAGTCTGCTCTTCCTTGTCATGCACTCTCCATGCATGGATTTGTGCTCCAACCGTGAGTCTGCCTTGTCAGCTTGTATAATCCATGGCAAGTGTTTCCTAAAAATTAATTAATTCCATGGATTTGAGTGAAGCTTTTAGACAATCCTTAAAGTGTTTTTTTCTGCCCAGCAGCTGAGTGTTCCACTCTGGTGAGTTTACCAAGCATTAGTTGGGTAGGGAGTGTGCTTTCTCGCATTCTCGTAGCATGCCCCGCCCATCTGGCTTTGCAGAGGCGTGTGGATGCTGACAAAGTCAGCCTGTTGTAGGACTTATGTATCAGGGACTTTGTCCTCCCACCTTATGACAAGAAGTTTACGTAGACAGCTTAGATGGCGATGGTTTAGTTGTCTTAGCATGTCTGCTGTACGCGATCAGATTCTAATACAGTTGCCCTATATACTTTCAGCTTAGTGACACAAATGAGACACCTTCGCTCCCACACACTCGTGCAGAGCCTTGTGAATGCAACATTTGCTTTGGAAATTTGGTTGTTGATCTCATCATCTATTGTTACTCATCTGGAGAGGCTGCTGCCCAAAGATGTGAATTTTTCAACAGGACAAGACTTATCAAAATCTACAAAGCAGGAGGCCCCGTCATGACAGAAAGGCTGACAGAGCTATTTGAGTCGAGATGGTTCTGTTCCTCAGCACTTCAAGGATGCAAATATAATACACATAGACAAGAGAAAGGGCAGTTACCAAACCTGTGACAACTATCGAGGCATTTCTCTTCATAGCTGGGAAGATCTTGTCCAGACCCACTTAATCTTTTACAACTACACCTTGAACAGGGGCTAGTTCCTGAAAGCCAATGTGGATTATGTTTAGAATTGCGCATAGCTGACATAATATGAGCACCACCTCGGCTCCAAGAAACAATGTTGAGCAACACAGCGGCCTGTTCATCACCTATGTTGATCTGACCAAGGCATTTGAATCAGTCAGCATATATGGCCTGTGGAAGATAATGAAGACGTTTTACTGCTGGAGTGGATTTCTTACAATAGTACATGAACTCCATGATGGGATGATGGCCAGGGTGATGGATTTTAGGGATAAGTCTGCGGCATTTCCTGTAACTAATGGCTGTACAAGGCTGTATTCTAGCTCCAACATATTTTAGCATGCTATTCTCAGAAATGCTCATTGATGCTTTTCTTGACTTTAATGACAGCATTCCTATAAGATACAGGACAGACGGATTGCTATTTAATCTTAGGAGACTGTAAGCCATAACGAAAGTTAAAGAAACTGTTATTCATGGTCTCTTTATTTGCTGATGACTTCAGCCTAAATGCAAGCTAGGAACTGAAAATGCAGCAAATAATTGATTGCTTTGTTAAGGCCTGCGACAACAGGCCTCCCCATCAACACGAGGAAAAAAAACATATCTTGCACCAGCCAGTTCCAGGAAAAGCTTACAAATAACCTGACATGTCAGGTAAAGATATTCCAAGATTCTGGACGCCATATATTCTAAATCAGCTGTTCTCAATGTGGGCAATATGGTTACCAAGGGGCCGTGAAAATGTTGGGCAGAAAAAAACGGCTCTTTTATGTAAAAAAAGCAGATTTTAGTAATAATAGCAGGGGGCCACGAAGGTTAAAAAAAAATTAAAGTAGGTCACGCGTAAGTAAAGGTTGAGAGACAGTTTTAAACTGGACATAAACGAAATGATGCATTTAAATTAAATCACCAAAACACAAGGCCTTCATCTGTTACATTTATACATAGAAAGTCAATGTTAAATGTGTGAATGTTTTAACTTTAATATAACAAATGTCTTAACCTGTAGACTCCCCCCCCCCCCCCCAAACCTCCCAAATCACAACACATACTGATATTTTCCTGTGTATTTGCATATATCCTGTACATTCTTCCTAAACCTGTCTTGACCCACAATTCTTATAATAGAAGTTTACCTTTTTTTTTTTTTATATGGTATGTTTTCATGTTGCTTTGTAAACTTAACCTTTATCCGTCATTGCCTTTGTGCTGTGGGTCATTATATTAATTAAATTGGGGGGCCATGTGTGAACCTTTTTAATGTTTTCATGACCTCTGATGTTTATCTAAGTCAGCGGTTCTCAACCTGTGGGTCGTGACCCCTTTGGGGGTCGAACAACCCTTTCCCAGGGGTCCCCTAAGACCATCGGAAAACACATACTATACAGTTATAAAGTAGCAAGGAAAATAATTTTATAGTTAGGGGGCACCACAACATTAGGAACTGTATCAAAAGGTCGTGACATTAGGTAGGTTGAGAACCACTGATCTAAGGGGTGGATCACCATTTCACGTTTATTTACACTAAAACAATTGTCTAATGTTGATGAATTATGAAATAGTTGGTTTTTAATGGATATAAAACTAAAATTTTAATAATTGTAATCATGATCATATAATTCTTAAGGTGAGCAGGGGATCCCACTCGTACACGAAGGCAACGAACCACTGGTGCTGGTTGCAACAGCCATCAGCTAAAGAAGCTGATGGTCACAGCAGCCTTTAAGAAAGGGAGACCTTTAAAGAAATCCTAGAAATTGTCTTCACTCCGCTCTGATTTTATGTTATTACTTGTTAGCCATTACTTTTCATTGAACTGTATTATCATTTTAAAATATGTGATCTACCATATCTCTGTATTGAAAAAGGGGTTTAGTCCTCATCATTATCACCCAATAATACTAACTACTGGGTGAATGTTGCGCCATGAGACATATGTTTTAGCTCCACAACTTGATATTCTCAGTTGGCAAAATGATGATCAAGCTTCTTTTTTTGTGCCTATCTTTTTTACTTTTTTAAAATGTTAATTCCAGCGGTGAACAACCTGTGGGTTGCGACCCTCTTGGGGGTCGAACGATCGCCAAGCCCATCGGAAAACACATGTTTATGAAGTAGCAACGAAAATAATTTTATGGCTGGGGGTCGCCACAACATGAGGAACTGTCAATTAAAGGGTCGCTGCATTAGGAAGGTTGAGAACCACTGGTCTATTCACTCATCATATGGTCTGAATATAAGTTGTTCATTAAATTGAATTCTCTATGAATGAATCTTAAACATCCCTATCTATATATGTAACCCACATACTCATGGGGAAAGCATGCATGCATGTGAAAAGCCTATCATCAGGTTTGGTCACAAAGGTCAGACTGCATGCAAAGCATGTCCAGCACATCTTTAATACCTTCCCAAGTATCTATGTTTGGACCCCTGTGCCCATTACTGCATGATACGGGAACAGCTTCTCTACTATTTTGTCCACTACATGTTGTTACTCATTTAATACAACTAAACTTTAATTTCTATTAACCCCTTTGGTAATTATTAAATTAAAGAAATGAATTGACCTATTTGTTTGAAAAGGGAACCAGTGCCACTCTTCTCTTCACAGAGAGTAAATATGTGAGTTTCTTCTTTATTGAATGAAATATCAATATAGGTTATATTGCATGCCATAGTTTAAAACATCCCTCAAATTTGATAGTTGGCTTTCAACTCTTCTGTTCAAAACTCACTCACACAGAAGGATCTTTGTGAAGTAATTCAATGACATTTTAATTATATTATGCTCTACACTGCCTTCACCCACCGATCGTCATTAAATTGTCTCTTAAAAATACCACCGAGTTTTTATGATTCAGTTTCAATGTTTCGTTGTAATGTCCTGTGTTTAAACAATGCTATCATGGGTTATTGTGATCAAAGTCACTGGGTGTTTAAACCAGAACAAGAACTATCTTTTGAGTCACTCTGAACAAACTCACGGGGCGTTTCAACTATTTGACCAAGATGATCTTTTGAGTCACTCTGAACAAACTCACGGGGCGTTTCAACTATTTGACCAAGATGATCTTTTGAGTAACTCTGAACAAACTCACGGGGTGTTTCAACTATTTGACCAAGA